AATGCCTTTTTAAATTGTACCAAATTAACAGAATCAAGCATCTCCTGGATAGGAAAACACTTTTGTTAGTAATAAATTCATTTGTCTTTAGTAAACTCCAATATTGTTCAACTGTCTGGAGTAATACCAGCAGCAGCAATATTGACAAGTTACAAAAAGTCCAAAACTTTGCTGGACGAATTATTCTGGGACTAAGAAAGTATGACCATATTTCGGATGGGTTGCGATCGTTGAAATGGCTTCCTATTAGAGAGAAACTCATTCTAAATGATGCTACTATGATGCACAAATGTATTAACAAGCTTGTTCCAGACTATCTTGCTGGTATGTTTAAATCACGTTCTCAAGTCCATAATAGACAAACTCGATCATCTGGTGCTTTGGATGTACCTTTATGTCGCCTGTCAACAGGGCAGCGCTCCTTTGCTTTCAGAGGAGCAAAACTCTGGAACTCCTTGAATGATAATATTAAGTCCTTAAAATGCCCCAGGAATTTTAGGCGTCATGTTGCAAATGTTTTATTAAGTTGATATATTTTTTGTAATTATAATATGATTGTACTTACATATTTAATTAATTTATATAAATTTGTATTTTTTATTCTATTGATCTGAAAAGCCCACTTAGGGAGCATCAATAAAATGTATGTATGTATGTATGTAAAGGGCAGTAGTCAGGAGAGAAAGGGACAAAAAGGTACGGGAGGCGGGAGAATGGGGTATGGGAAGCGGGAGGTTGTGACCACCCTCTCCCCCCCCCTCCCTCCTCACTGAAAACTGTGGCAACAATTCTCTTGAATTTCATTTGGGTTGCTTCATCTCCCTCCAAACTGGAAACTATGCCGGTTATGTTCATGAGATAAAAAGTATTTCTGAAACTAGTTCTTATTAAAAGAACTGCACTGAAAAGTTTCAAAATTGACAACTGTGCATAGTTTGTGACAAATTATAGTTTTTCCTTTGTATTGACAGGCGGACAATTTTAAAGTCAAGTATGTCTGGACGGAAAGCCAAGCAAGTTGAGCGTGTGATTAAGTACAGGCCAGTGAGTGACCATGAGATGAATGTAAGTACTGTGCATGTGCACACAAAATTTTAGATTTTGCATTTTTAATGGCTTTCTTTAAGCACTCACCTTGGTATAGAAAATAACCTTCAAAACTCAGAAAGATTCATATAACCAAATTTCAAATGCACTTCACCTTTATTGTCATCATCATATCATATTCAACACCTCTTTTATCCCTCAGGTTGCTGAAGTTTTCCTTTCCTCAGGGTGTTGAAATTCCTTTTAGTCTTTAACAGTGCTGTCAACTCTCGCAAAGATTAAATCTGAGAGACTCCGGATTTTGGATTGTATCTCCCGGTCTCCAGATTAGAGTATGGAAATTCCCAGATAATAGCTGGAGTTTGCCATTTCTTTAGTAGACTTGACTTTTTGACAATGAAATTTCAGCTATTTTGTGTTGTTTAAGCTATTTTAATGTTAACATTCAACATTTCCCCATAAACTCCAGTATGCCCTTGTTACAATAATATAACGTGATTGGTGAAATTAAGTAAAACAATCAGGTCAAATGTTACAGTGCCTAACAACGTCTTTTTTGCGCGTTTTGTGTCATCACAAATTTGTGACAATTGGGGTCAACAAGTATTTTTGCCCAAATGACATCATGTGCCGCATGTTATGACTTCATCTATCATCCTTTCCCTATCAATTCTCAATAATTATTTGAGGATGTATTGGTGTGACAGCCCTACTTTAAAGGCATCATTTTATTTTCAGATTAAACATGGGAAGAAAAAGAAAGAAGAAGGAAAGAGGGCTCGTGAAGATGAAGATGTTGTTAAAGCCTTGTTGTTCAATGCCTTTGAAAGACATCAGTATTACAACTTAAAGGACCTTATTAGCATTACAAAACAACCAGTGGTAAGAATTGCTTATGAAATCCAGGATGTACAGCACCCGGGGTGGGGGGGCGGGGCACTCCTTATAATGGCCTATATGGAGAGGCTCCCCCCGAATGGAACATCTTTTTCAGGTGTCAGGTATATGAAGGGGTAGGGATTTCACTTGCTGAAGTAAATGAAAGGATAGAGAAATGTGTCATTTTGATAGGTAAAAATTATGGCTTTCAAAAATTCAAGAACACTTGAAATCTGGTGTTGTCATTTATTCATATTTTAAGGGCAGTTCATTCATAGCAGTTAATAGGGATGCAAAGTTCCAAACTTGGCGTGAGAAAGGGGTACCATTTGTCAGTAGAAGGTATACGAAATGGTACTTTTCTGTTAAAAATGGTATGTAAAAGGGTAAAGGGTTGGACTCGGAGTGGACCCTTCCTGTATAAAACTTTGTTGAGTACCCTGTGGGGCATGTACAAGTTTTCTAAGATTTGCTTGTTGACCAAGGGCAGAGGTTGGTCGCCACAGTCACCGGTTATCACTAAAGCACAGCTCTGTATGTGCAATGTTCAATGTTTAGAACCCAGTTAGATACCTCACCTTAGGAGTCCATAATTTTCCCAATTTTTTTTCCTGGAACTTTTTGAAAAGGGCACATAAATCTTCAAGGTATTTTCTTACAAAAAGGTCGCAATTAATAACCTGGAAGGAAGTCACACCATATTGATCATAACTAACAACAAAATAAGAGCTTCTTAAGAATTTAACTGTGCCTGACTTTAGAAGTATGCAGCTATTCTGTTCAATTTATTAATCATGTAAAATCACCAGTTCTGTGATTTAACCTGGCCTGACTTTTTCATACCTCTTTTATAAAGTGCGTGTTTAATTTTATTTTTTTGTTTGTTTCATATAGTAGAAGATTCCAATGTCAACAAAGAGTATCTCAGTCATGAAGCCACAAACCAGGGACAACATGTGGAGAATAACACATTACTTCAAGAGCAGAATAAACCTACACAGGAAATCACAATTCAAGTGTATCCCAACAGCCAAGCTATTTCCTTGGTAACGACTAGCATTCTTTCTGCTGATGTGACTTCCTTTCCAACTCAAGTTCCTACATTTTTAACAGAGGGTGATGCTGAAGCGAGTGAAACACATTATCAAGTTGTTACAACAAGCTCAATGCTAAATCATGGAGACGGTAGTACTGCAGCTCTGGATGTGCTTACCTCCTCCACAGATCTCACCAGAAATGTGGTTTTGACAGATCAGCAACAGGTGTTGCTGAGTGGAATGCTGGTACCAGGAGTGACAGGAAACCAGGCGATTCACATCAACATGACGCGTGATGGAAGTAGTGGCATGGAGGTGGATGAAACATCACAAGATGAACAGGTATTTGAACTCTGTCCAGTCATAAGTAGGTCAAATACAATTTTCCAGATGCATACCGTCAATAATCTTTAAGACAGTAAGCGATGTTTCCGCAACATTAGGTTGGTCAGTTAGTATGCTGTATCTCTGAGGCATGCATTTCAACTAATCCACCCTCCAGCTGACTGGTGAAAATTGACTTTGTCTGTAAGTAAACTTTTTCCTTTAAAAATTTCATGGTTACTTGAATCAAGGTTTTAAGATATTAATATGGAAGTCGTGGGATTTCAGAAATAAGTATGTTGAGTTTCCGTTTATCCTTGTTGGTTATTGTAAAATGTTGAGTTCTGCTGCTAATTTGGTGCTGGTGAAACTCAAAATCTTCTTATTATTAAAAGCAAATATGTTACAAAGAAATGAGAGTTTCTTGGTAGACCAGTGCATTGTTCGTTTGATCTTGAGGACCTTTTGGGTTTGGTATGACTTACTCATGAACCGTAGCTTCAATGAGTTAACCATATTAACCAGTTTAATAGGCCGTCTTAGGGTGGGTATGCTTTCCTATTTTGATTTTCAAAACCAGTCATTTCTTGCATTGAGGAGGAAGCCATGTCCCTGTTGGCATTGTACAATTTATTATTGTTTGTGCACTTTTAGGCATAATTTCAACCCCTCATTGTGTTGTTTGTCGCCATTTAATTTGTCTCATGTTGCCATTTCAAGGCCATGTTGCTTGTCGAAATTTTACCTGGGAAGGGCCTCATTAGAGTCTCTAGCCAGATCCTGGACAGAATTATGTCATTGGTATGGTTATTTATGGGACCAAAATGCAAATGTCTCCCTATTGTGAAATGTCCCCAGTGGCAGAGAGCGGGTGACAAGTCAGGCTGTATTCACAGGCTAGTCCAAGTTTTTGTATTTTCTTCATTATAACTCATAAACAAGGTTCTCTGTAGACAAAATCAGATATACGTGTTAGACATGCAGTATGGTGCAGTATTGCACAGTCACTAATAAAAGATAACAATATTATTGCGGTAATTTGCATCAACAGGAGGATGAGGAACAGTGTNTTTTGACAGATCAGCAACAGGTGTTGCTGAGTGGAATGCTGGTACCAGGAGTGACAGGAAACCAGGCGATTCACATCAACATGACGCGTGATGGAAGTAGTGGCATGGAGGTGGATGAAACATCACAAGATGAACAGGTATTTGAACTCTGTCCAGTCATAAGTAGGTCAAATACAATTTTCCAGATGCATACCGTCAATAATCTTTAAGACAGTAAGCGATGTTTCCGCAACATTAGGTTGGTCAGTTAGTATGCTGTATCTCTGAGGCATGCATTTCAACTAATCCACCCTCCAGCTGACTGGTGAAAATTGACTTTGTCTGTAAGTAAACTTTTTCCTTTAAAAATTTCATGGTTACTTGAATCAAGGTTTTAAGATATTAATATGGAAGTCGTGGGATTTCAGAAATAAGTATGTTGAGTTTCCGTTTATCCTTGTTGGTTATTGTAAAATGTTGAGTTCTGCTGCTAATTTGGTGCTGGTGAAACTCAAAATCTTCTTATTATTAAAAGCAAATATGTTACAAAGAAATGAGAGTTTCTTGGTAGACCAGTGCATTGTTCGTTTGATCTTGAGGACCTTTTGGGTTTGGTATGACTTACTCATGAACCGTAGCTTCAATGAGTTAACCATATTAACCAGTTTAATAGGCCGTCTTAGGGTGGGTATGCTTTCCTATTTTGATTTTCAAAACCAGTCATTTCTTGCATTGAGGAGGAAGCCATGTCCCTGTTGGCATTGTACAATTTATTATTGTTTGTGCACTTTTAGGCATAATTTCAACCCCTCATTGTGTTGTTTGTCGCCATTTAATTTGTCTCATGTTGCCATTTCAAGGCCATGTTGCTTGTCGAAATTTTACCTGGGAAGGGCCTCATTAGAGTCTCTAGCCAGATCCTGGACAGAATTATGTCATTGGTATGGTTATTTATGGGACCAAAATGCAAATGTCTCCCTATTGTGAAATGTCCCCAGTGGCAGAGAGCGGGTGACAAGTCAGGCTGTATTCACAGGCTAGTCCAAGTTTTTGTATTTTCTTCATTATAACTCATAAACAAGGTTCTCTGTAGACAAAATCAGATATACGTGTTAGACATGCAGTATGGTGCAGTATTGCACAGTCACTAATAAAAGATAACAATATTATTGCGGTAATTTGCATCAACAGGAGGATGAGGAACAGTGTAGTGATGGCAAACGTCATGTGTGCCCACACCCTGACTGTAATGTAGTGTGTTCCAAAGCATCTAAATTGAAGCTTCATATGCTAGTGCATACAGGGGAAAGACCCATCAAGGTATCTAAGAAATTAAAAAAAAATTAAAGAAGAGTCTCCCATTGTGTAGTCTCCCTCGCAGCCCTTTTTTGGATGTCACGCAATGCTTCCCCTTGTGTGACATCCAAAAAATGGCTGCAAGGGAGACTATCTATTGTGAGATTTGTAAAATTTTCATTTGTGAGAGTCAATGAAAAGCAAATTATAACTTGGGAAAGTGCTTCTAAAGACCTTCCATGTGAATTGTCTCAAAGTTCAATAATGTCAAATACACACACTGTATGCATTTTGTTATACAACAGCTTCCCCCAGACTGGTTTTATCAAACCATATGGTTTTGTCATTGTTTGTGTTTTTTTCATCAAAGCACAGATAATTAAGCAGTTAACCATAGCATAAGCACTGAGTAGTTCCTTGGAAGTAAGTGACCTGAACCCTGACTTGAAGTCAAGCCATCTTTTTAGCATCAGAAAACAGTACAGTTAAAAAATGCCTTGGAAAGAATGGTAGCTATTTTTGAATGGTGACATATTTTAATAGTCAGAGATCCAGCCCTTGGGGAAAGCTCAGGAGTGGTAGGGGGGGGGGGTACTTCTTAGTAGTACACTAATGGGAGTGTGCCGCTGGATGGGGTCACTAAAATGGGATTGCTAAAATTACTTTTTTCCCAAAGTGACTAATATGGGGCCTATAATAATATGGCCACAGAATAGACTAATGGGGTCAGGGTTCTAAGAGGCCAGCGGCACATACTCAGCAAAAATTAGCCCAAGTAGCCACGAGGGGTGGGGGAGGTGGAGATGGGGGGCTGCACTCATCAAGACCATGTGATGAGGGGGAGGGCAGTCTCCATTTTTTTCCCCAGGAAGGGAAAAAAAAGGGGGGTTGGGTCCTTCCCTAGATCTGCCACCACTTCATACGATGTCACCTGCAAAATCAAAGGTTCAAGCCATGTTACACATCATAACAAATGGTCACCCAGTTGGATTTCGTCATGAGATTAATGCCTTTTTTATTGATTTCAGTGTCCTCAAGAAGGGTGTGAATGGGCATTCACAACGTCATACAAAAGGAAGAGGCACGTTCGAGGTCACACTGGAGAGAAGCCATTTCTGGTAGGTTTTTTACACAGCCTTATTTGGGTTTAACAGATCGACATGCCATGTTCAATTTTCAAGTACCAAGGGTAAATGTAGTATATACTGTCTTGACCTCTACTTCTGTTGTTGTGGACAGGTAGGTGGGAACCAAGGAAAAGAAGGGAAGGATTTAGTCTAGACGAAGTCTAGCCTGTGTCAGGCTCTGAGATAGTTGGGATGTTGCAAAATTATAACAAGCCAAGCAAAAATATGATGTGTGCAATCTGAGGAAGGGGAAAGTGGCTCTCTCTTTCCCCAGTCCTTAAGCATTTTTACTGCAAAACATCGCATTACTATCTTGGAGCCTGGAAGAGGCTTCCTGAAGCCTGAAGAGTTAATCAGGGTGCAAAGAAAGTCAGTTTTACAGCCTGCCATTCGGGCGAGCTCTAGTTAGCATGTACTAGCCCACAAGCCATTTCAACTAGCCCCGAAACCCTTTTTTATTAGCAGGATTGATTACAATCCTTTTGTAATTTGAATTTCCCCAAAAAACAGCACTTGCCCGTCAGGCAAGTTAAGAACACATATCACTAGCCCAATAGCAAAATCCACTAGCCCCAGGCTATCAGACACGACTTTCTTTGCATGCTGTCAAGAGAGTTGATTATCTTTTAAAAGCTTGGATTTGATGTGTAGGATATAAAAATGTTGCAAATTGGATGACTGGTGGACTCTTTTATTTAACAGTGCACCCATGAAGGATGTGGCAAGTGTTTCACCACCGCTTACAACTTGAAGACACGTGTCAGAGCCCACTACAGAACAGACACCCACATGTGCAGGTACGAAGGCTGTGACAAGACATTTGCTACAGCCCACAACCTAAAAGTTCATGAAAGAAGACATCAAACAGAGAACAAGCCATATAAATGCGAAATGGAGGGGTGCGGTAAGGTGTTCTCTGCCAATGGGACTTTAACAGCCCACATGAAGATTCACAGTGGAGAAAGACCACATGCATGTCCTGTAGATGGATGTGAGAAAAGGTTTACAATTAGGCATCGAAGTTAAAGCTGCAATTGAGGTCACATACGGGTGAAAGGCCATTTCACTGTGAAGTACAGGTATAACTATCATATGTTTACAGTCGAACCTCTCTCTACTGTATGTCTCACTTCAGCGCAGTGTATAAATGAGTGCTGACTGCAAAATGGTGGGTATAACCCTGTGATAGACTAGCTTTCTATCCAGTGGGGAGTAGTAATACCCCTATAAAATACTTGCCAAGTGTCACGCCTAAGGCGTGATTGTCATGCCTGTGGATCGAAAACTTGGATCTCACGCCTACTCACACCTGTGTTACGATTTGTCATGCATGGTGGAAAAGGTTGAGCCATTACAGCATTAACTGACACATTTGAAGAATATATTAGTTATTTAAACAAACGAGAACCAAAGAGAGAAAAGAAAAGTGTTAATGTGGATGATCGACTTTCTCCGAATTCTCTTTTTTTAGTAGGGAAGTCGATGTTCCTTTGTGTTCCCATGTTCGTGTAAGACGGAACACTTAGTAACATCTTCGGAAGTCCTCAGAATGTCTTCGGGCATCTTCAGATATTATTATCAGACCCTACAAAAAATCTTGGCACTCTTAAGATAAAAAATGTCACACCTATAAACGTAAAAAGTTGGTAGGTATACCCTATGTACTTCCGTTATACACTCTGGCCTTATAGGCCTCTTTGGCTCAAGGTGCCCTTTAACCCTTTAAGTCCCAATATCCAAATACAAATTCTCCAAAATGGTCCTCATACATTTTCTTAGAGAATGAGTTAAGAGAATTTGGTAAAAGATCAAGGTATTTTCTATTTGGTGATCATTTTATTAATTCTCATAACCTAATCTCTTAACAATGTATGGATAGTGTTAGGAGAATATTGATGTTGGACACCATTGGGACTTAAAGGGTTAACCATTTTTATCCTACATGTATTTTAGGTACCCTACTCCCCTAAATGTCTCTCTTTCCTGTCTGACAGTGATTGTTGTAGAGATTTGATTCATTTCACAGTGTTTTTTTTTGTTCAGGGGTGTGGCTGGTCTTTCACAAGTGCTTATAAACTTAAGCGGCATATGCGGAAACACACGGGAGAGAGACCATTTATGTGCCTCCATGAAGGCTGCCTTAAATCATTCACAAGATCAAGTCATTTAAAGACCCACATGCTTGTCCATACAGGAGAAAAACCTTATGTTTGCCCTGTGGACGGTAAGGTTGTTTTCCCAAATGAAATTTATTATGCATCCCTTTTTTTGTTAATTATCACTTAAAAAAAGATGTGCAAAAACCTTCTCTTGGAAATTGAATGGGACACAATTCTCTCCTCAAGCACTGGAGACAAAATTTTAATTTTTATTAAGTCGTTCATAGCCATGTAATGTACTCTGAGAATCACAATGATTTTTTTGCCAGAGACTGAAATTCAAGTCTTACAAAATTTGATTTTCCCATTCTTGCGAATTTGAGGTGCCCACCAAAACTGGATAGCTTTTGGACTGTTCATGATCCCCTATTTTTCCACAAAAATAGTTGTTATTGAGCACTTATATCATTACAGGTGGCTAGCTTGGTCTCATGTAGCGAGGGGGTGGGTGTCAGAATTTATAGTAGTATGAGGGAGGGAGGTGAGAAAAATAAAAATATTTTATTATGTTATTAGTAAAATTTATTAAATATTGTTCTCGCCTCTTCCCAACCATCCCCTGCTCCCAAAGTAAATTTGAAATGGTACATTTGAAAGTTGATCCTGACAATCGTACAGAAAAAAGGGCTCTGTGAACAGTCTGGATAGATAGCAAGGGATTATTCACATGATACCAAAATGACTTTCATTCTGGAACGAGTTCACCCCATCTTAAGATAATTTTGCTGTATTTTTTTACGCGATGCCAAAACAACCTTTTGGTTCCCATACAAGTCATTCCGGTTTTCAATCCGAGTGAATGAAATTCTTGTTCTGGTATGAAATTTCATTCTGGTATCATGTAAACTGAAAACCAACTTCAATTCTGGATTGTAAACTGTGTAAATCACAAATTGTGTAGTCTGGGGTAAGTGGCACATGCGTATCTGATGTGGTGCAAAAACCATGCAAGCAAGAATAAGCCAAACCAGTGAATTTTATGATGTGAATGCACTACGAACTTCATTCTAATATAAATGCGAAATGGAGGGGTGCGGTAAGGTGTTCTCTGCCAATGGGACTTTAACAGCCCACATGAAGATTCACAGTGGAGAAAGACCACATGCATGTCCTGTAGATGGATGTGAGAAAAGGTTTACAATTAGGCATCGAAGTTAAAGCTGCAATTGAGGTCACATACGGGTGAAAGGCCATTTCACTGTGAAGTACAGGTATAACTATCATATGTTTACAGTCGAACCTCTCTCTACTGTATGTCTCACTTCAGCGCAGTGTATAAATGAGTGCTGACTGCAAAATGGTGGGTATAACCCTGTGATAGACTAGCTTTCTATCCAGTGGGGAGTAGTAATACCCCTATAAAATACTTGCCAAGTGTCACGCCTAAGGCGTGATTGTCATGCCTGTGGATCGAAAACTTGGATCTCACGCCTACTCACACCTGTGTTACGATTTGTCATGCATGGTGGAAAAGGTTGAGCCATTACAGCATTAACTGACACATTTGAAGAATATATTAGTTATTTAAACAAACGAGAACCAAAGAGAGAAAAGAAAAGTGTTAATGTGGATGATCGACTTTCTCCGAATTCTCTTTTTTTAGTAGGGAAGTCGATGTTCCTTTGTGTTCCCATGTTCGTGTAAGACGGAACACTTAGTAACATCTTCGGAAGTCCTCAGAATGTCTTCGGGCATCTTCAGATATTATTATCAGACCCTACAAAAAATCTTGGCACTCTTAAGATAAAAAATGTCACACCTATAAACGTAAAAAGTTGGCAGGTATACCCTATGTACTTCCGTTATACACTCTGGCCTTATAGGCCTCTTTGGCTCAAGGTGCCCTTTAACCCTTTAAGTCCCAATATCCAAATACAAATTCTCCAAAATGGTCCTCATACATTTCCTTAGAGAATGAGGTAAGAGAATTTGGTAAAAGATCAAGGTATTTTCTATTTGGTGATCATTTTATTAATTCTCATAACCTAATCTCTTAACAATGTATGGATAGTGTTAGGAGAATATTGATGTTGGACACCATTGGGACTTAAAGGGTTAACCATTTTTATCCTACATGTATTTTAGGTACCCTACTCCCCTAAATGTCTCTCTTTCCTGTCTGACAGTGATTGTTGAGAGATTTGATTCATTTCACAGTGTCTTTTTTGTTCAGGGATGTGGCTGGTCTTTCACAAGTGCTTATAAACTTAAGCGGCATATGCGGAAACACACCGGAGAAAGATCATTTATGTGCCTCCATGAAGGCTGCCTTAAATCATTCACAAGATCAAGTCATTTAAAGACCCACATGCTTGTCCATACAGGAGAAAAACCTTATGTTTGCCCTGTGGACGGTAAGGTTGTTTTCCCAAATGAAATTTATTATGCATCCCTTTTTTTGTTAATTATCACTTAAAAAAAGATGTGCAAAAACCTTCTCTTGGAAATTGAATGGGACACAATTCTCTCCTCAAGCACTGGAGACAAAATTTTAATTTTTATTAAGTCGTTCATAGCCATGTAATGTACTCTGAGAATCACAATGATTTTTTTGCCAGAGACTGAAATTCAAGTCTTACAAAATTTGATTTTCCCATTCTTGCGAATTTGAGGTGCCCACCAAAACTGGATAGCTTTTGGACTGTTCATGATCCCCTATTTTTCCACAAAAATAGTTGTTATTGAGCACTTATATCATTACAGGTGGCTAGCTTGGTCTCATGTAGCGAGGGGGTGGGTGTCAGAATTTATAGTAGTATGAGGGAGGGAGGTGAGAAAAATAAAAATATTTTATTATGTTATTAGTAAAATTTATTAAATATTGTTCTCGCCTCTTCCCAACCATCCCCTGCTCCCAAAGTAAATTTGAAATGGTACATTTGAAAGTTGATCCTGACAATCGTACAGAAAAAAGGGCTCTGTGAACAGTCTGGATAGATAGCAAGGGATTATTCACATGATACCAAAATGACTTTCATTCTGGAACGAGTTCACCCCATCTTAAGATAATTTTGCTGTATTTTTTTACGCGATGCCAAAACAACCTTTTGGTTCCCATACAAGTCATTCCGGTTTTCAATCCGAGTGAATGAAATTCTTGTTCTGGTATGAAATTTCATTCTGGTATCATGTAAACTGAAAACCAACTTCAATTCTGGATTGTAAACTGTGTAAATCACAAATTGTGTAGTCTGGGGTAAGTGGCACATGCGTATCTGATGTGGTGCAAAAACCATGCAAGCAAGAATAAGCCAAACCAGTGAATTTTATGATGTGAATGCACTACGAACTTCATTCTGGAATGAAAGTCATTCCTGAATGAAAGTCATTCTGGTATCATATAAACAGCCCCTAAGACAGAGAAGTTTAATGTGCCTGTTTATGTTTTTTTTAAGGGTGCAACAAGGCATTTACTGCAGGAAGTAGTCTTAATGTACACATGTGTAAACACACTGGTGAGAAACCATTCAAGTGTGATATTGATGGTTGTGCAAAGACCTACACCACTGCTGCTAACTTAAGGGCTCATCAGAAGCGACATGGAATGAAAGCCGTAGTGGGTAAGAACTTATACATGAAGTTCTGGCAATAAAGTTAATACTCTCGCCTGTAAAGAATGAAATCAACATTTACTATTCATATGGATAAAAAGAGATTTTGAAGCATGGGCAAGTTAGGGTACTTTTGGTGCTTACCTTTTGATAGAAAAACTTGAATTGGTTAGGTTGCCCAGTACATGATGATATACACTTTCCCTGCTGCCTGCAGAAATACCCTTTTCTTTTACGCTTTGAACTCAACAAAGGCATGAATAAAAAGCTTAAAGGAAAATGTAAAACAAATGGTAAGCGATATTCCATGTGGCAGCTGTAACCACATGACATCCCTTAAGTTTGTTATTGTTCTGTCTTTATCTCCTACCTTTCCTCCTTGCTCTAAATGTCCTTTATTATACTGTGGTTACTTTTTCTACCTTCCTTTTTTTCCCTACAGTTGATTTCAATGATGCTTCCCAAGGTGACATGCCTGTAGAGCTTAGTGTAGTTAGCTGCGGGAGCAATGCTAGTGAAACAGAACCCGAAGTCATGTACACCACCATCAGTTCTTTCCACCCAAGCAATTTTAACCTTGATGATGCTGCACGTCTTTCAGCAGTTGGTATTCATATACCCCCTTCATTGCAGCCAAACACATTGTGTGCCCTGGTAACTTCCACAGGCAACCCACTTGTGTCTCCTTCGACTGAACTTGCACTGGAAACAGAAAAGAAACAGTCAGAAGATGGAGAAATGAAGGAAGCAAGTATATCAGGAATTCAAGTGCCAATCTCAGTTCAACAAGAGCAATTTGTTACCGAGGACCTAGAAAATAATACAAAACTTGATGTAACAGAGTTCGTCGTGAGAAGTACTAGCGATGACACAATTTCACCTGCCGCCCAGGTAAGGACAGAGGTGGTTGTAGTGGACGGAACCAAGCTCTCTGGAAACTTTGATTTGTGTATAACCAGCATGATGAGTCATATAACAAGTGAAGCAGGACAAGATGGAACTGGAGGACACGCTGCTGTTAAAAGTGTTGTGTCATCAAGTCGGTCTCGTAAAAGATCCAAAACTCTTGACTTTCGAGATGTTCACCCTGAGAATCAGTTTGCGCCGCCTGCTGTTATATTTCAGGTTTGTTTGTAAGTTTCGTATGTTAAGCCATTGGCCCCTGAACCGCCCGTGTGTACCCGAGTTCCTTCTACAGGTTGTAACGTCATCAGGACAACTTTGTCATCTCACTTGTGCAGGGTGAAGAGATCTTCAAACCATATCAGAATGAGCAAGATCCAGTCAAGGAGGCCGGAGAAAAGGGCAAAAAAAACACGTAACGTTAACCCGAAAATTCCTCTTGTTCCACTACCCACCGACCTTTCCTTTCATCTAATCGCAAGATTCTAAATGCTTTCCTAAATTAAAAGCTTTTCCCACCAAAATGAAGCCTTCTAAAATGCCCAGTAAAAGAAAAAAAAGTGGAGGAAGAAAAGCAGAAGAAGAGTGGAGGAGATAAATTTTGCTTTCTGCGCATACCTGAGCTTCAAAAGCTATTCTCTTGCATCTGGATCCTTGGCTTCTTGACGTAAGACATTTCATAAACCTTCATTTTGAGCTCCTGAGGTTACATAATTATTATGCAAAAAAAAAGCGATTGTAATTTGACATCTGTTGGTTTGCAGGATGAAGTCAAGTCCTCAGACACTGAAAATGAGGCTGAAGTCTTAGTGGCTCAAATCCAGCAGTCCCCTGAGGGAACTGCCACGGTTCATATTCCCAGGGATTCGTTTCAAATCAATTTACCCCACGGACCAGTAACTGATTCAACAACAGCTCATGTACCGGAAGTGGAACATGTGGATGTCAATACAAGTGGTAACCATGGTAACACCATTGAGATTCCTTTAGAATCTAGTTCAACACTACCCGATGCGTCTGCGCAAAGTGAAGTTATGGAAAAAGGAGGCTTATCTCCATATATGGACAATCAAAGCTCTTCAGAGCAAGACGAAGGGAAGGGAGACACTTATCCAGAAAGCACAATTAATTTACGAGACCTCCGATAATATATACATAATTCATAGCAACAACAATTGTATTTTGTAGATAATTTTTCTTTCTAGCTCGATTTGATAATTTATTTAGTAGCCTTATTTAAAGAGGTTAATTGTCGAAATTAGAAATAGCGTTGGAAAACGTCAAAAGGTCATCACAAAGAATCGATTATCGACAATCAAATCGTATCCACTGTCTTTACAGGGCGTAGCTGAAAAGACGAGACGCTGGTCACCACGTAGCCTGCATAACAGGCGTTACTTTTTTTCTGGTTTTTTAGGCGAGCGAAGGCAAGCGCTAAACGAGCAGGGAGCGCCGGACGCGCGCTACGGAGGCGCTCCTTGCTTTTTTTGCCCTTGTCTTCGCTCACCTGAAAACCGCGAAAAAATAACGCCTGTTATGTAGGCTGGCAATCGCTTGGACAAAAAATATATGTATTAGAAATAGTTTTTCATTGACTCTGAAAATTGACTGATGTCAGTCACAGAAAGTATAAGATCAAGTGCCGGTATGCGGAATAATGATAATATTAAGTATCAAGTATTTCCTCACGTTATTGACAAATTTCTGAGTCAGATCTTTTTTTATGAAACAAAAAAATTAGAATTACCTGCAAATGACCAAATAGCTTTTTCGCGACGTTTCACCTTATCATACGGCTTAGAGCACTTGAGTCAGTGATATAATTTTGATGGAGAAAAACAAAGACTGTAACTATAAATAGACCTAATGAAGAGAGAACTGATAATCAGCCCTTAACACCTGTTCTTAGATCCATCTACCAACATGGTGGCACTTTTTAGAGCTCCAGCTTTCCTGATCTGTCAATGCTGTGAGCTCTAGATGATCATATCTTTATAATGGGAAACTGTTAGAGATTAAAGTTGTGGATGAAGAAGACACATCTTAGCTAAGCCGCGTCTTATCTCAAGCGAAATGTGCAGTTTATACGGGACAGTTTCTGGGGTGTCATGTACCTATATAGCATAAATACCGGA